TCAGGTCTTAGGAGTTGTAATTTTAAATCCTTCATTGCATGATTAAGCTGTGGCTTCCCTTTAAAGGAGAGAGCACTATCAGGGCTGTGGTGACTCAGAGACAGTGAAATCCACACTGATCTCAATAAATAACCTCTATCAAAGTGGACAAATTAATGATGCATTTTATGACTAGCTCATCATTAGGGACTACTTTCCCTTGCAGGGTCCACTGGCAACCTCCAAGGGATTTTAAAAGTATCTGTGTCCAGGGTAAAAACTAGAATCTTTTCACCTAAACAATAATTCAAATGTTGTACTCAAAAAGCAGATAGTATTATTTTTAAAGTCCAGGCCTTATAGAGGAAGAGAGGAAATTTCCTGACTTTCAACTCCCAATTTCAACATTCCCCAATACTCACTTCTAACCACAAGGGACTGAACATGTAATATTTTTATCAGGTTCCATTTACTGGGTGCTTACCGTGCCCAACCCTGTGCTCCAGACCTTTATCTACTATAACACATTTACTTACAAATCGTCTCCTACGTTGCGGTTATTATCCCCTCCCCAGTTTATGGATAAGAAAAATAAAGCTCAAAGAAATGTAGGAACTAGTACAAAATATAACAGATAGGAGTGGGATTAAAGCCCAGGTCTGCCTGACTCCAGAAACCTAAAAACAAAACAAAACAACCTCATAGCAACGTTGAAGTCTATCTTTGGGTTTCCTTCTCTCTCTTTCCAAATATTCCCTTAGTGATTTCCTTCCAGTGCAGTGACACTGCTCATTTGACCTGGTTTTTTGGTCGGATTCTCAGGGCTGGCTAAATCCCACCTGTTAGAACCTAGAAAGGAACCATGCTGTAGTCCCTCCTTTATTCTGGGATTCTAGTGGACCACAGTGTCTGCCCATCATTTCCTTTCTGTATTTATTCTATCTCTGCCATTGTTATTTTCAGTCCAGGCTCTAGAACAACAGGCTCCCTTCACTCCCACCATCTCTTGCTAAATAATTATTGCTGTTGGACCAATAATCCCCGAATGCTACCTTTGTGGTGCAATTTTCTGACTTAAGAACCTTCCTGATCTCCTGTCACAGGAAGCTAAAACTTTGTATCTGGCTTTCAGTGCATCTTGTATTACTTCCCCACTTTACTCACATGTTCTCTATCTCCTATCCAATTTAATTTGATTTATTAAGATCTCATCAATTGTCATTAGATCTATTAATTAGTCATTGTTAGATCTGATAATTAATGAATTACTAATTATTAGATCCAATCATTCATTTTTCACATAATTAAGTAATTGTGGGTGGCACACAGGATTGTCCAGTCAATGGCTGTGGGTGATTCTCAGTCGTCGCCTGACGATAAGCAAGGAGGGACCAATGGCTCCTACCCTCAACGAAGAAGGTGGCTCATAATCTCTATCTCCTCCCGCCACAAGGTTCCTAGGAGTTGGGCAGCAGGCATTCTCATGATCTCTCCAATGAATCTCTCTCAAGCTCTAGTGATTTGGCACCCAAACTCAGACTGGTTTCCTTACAGGGCTACTCTCACGATGGCCCTAAAAAAAGAGTGGTCTTGGTGCATACCACTGTCCCTGACTCAACTTGCCTCTGAGGAAGATGCTGTAGGAATGGAAGAGTGTTCGCATCAGCAGATTTTTTTAATGCAGAAATTGTCTCTTTCAACAATTCAAAACATCAGAAACTTTGTTCCAATCAAGACCTACCCAAAATAACTTCAAATTAGAACAGAAAAGTGAATTCTATTGATTTATAAGGCTGTAGAGTTTCTATATTCATTGCTGGAGCTTTCCACAGACGGCAGCTTCTGAATTATAGCAGATTTACTTTTCATCAAGTTCAAGGGTACAGTTTCCAGTTCAAAAAGTCAAAAGTTAAGGACGCCATGAATAGTGAACAAAAATAAAGGCAAAACAATAAGGAAATGGAGACCCTGGTTATCTTAAACCTAAAATTTGTAGGACCTACAAAAGCTAGACTAATAAGAAAGGGGGTGGGGAGGGAGAGGGAGAAAGGAAGGGAGATAAATTTCAGATCTTATTGCAGTGAATGAGGCAGAGAAGTTGATACTGAGCTGTAAATGGTCTATATACTGATGACATATCAAGAGCTGTACAATGGATTATAATTCAATGTTTTTGTTTGTTTGTTTGTTTTAAAGATTTTATTTATTTATTTGAGAGAGAGAATGAGATAGAGAGAGCATGAGGGGGGGAGGGTCAGAGGGAGAAGCAGACTCCCTGCCGAGCAGGGAGCCCGATGTGGGACTCGATCCCGGGACTCCAGGATCATGACCTGAGCCGAAGGCAGTCGCTTAACCAACTGAGCCACCCAGGCGCCCTATAATTCAATGTTGATACGGAAAGAAGAGGAACAAAGCAATACCAGAAAACACTTATTTATGAAGGGCAAATTGTGCACCAAATAGGATGTAAATACTCTATTTGGATTATTTCATTTAAAACAAATCTGTATGATAGATGCTGCTCTTTTCAATTTGTTGTTGGTAAGAAAACTGAAGAGTCAAAGAGCTTAAGCATTGTGTGTAAGATTCTTAATCAAGAAAATAGATTAAAGGTAGGAGGGGCAGATAAGTCATTAACCAGTGGTCACACAAATAGCAAATGGCAAAGAACTCAAACCCAGTTCTGCTGACTCCGGATCACATGCTTCTAAGCAACATACAAACACATGCTAATGTAAGGGGCCCACACCGCAACCACAACCTCCGAGAAGCGTTTTTCCCTTACACTACAGACACTCACTGGGAGTTGTCCGGATCCTCTAGTTTGCAAGTTGTGTGGGAAAGAACAGATAAATGGATTTGACACAAGAGGCAGCCTTGCCGCGGTCCTTCACCTTTGGTTAATTAGGAGCAAGCACACAGGACAGAAGGATAGTCAGGGAATCGGAAAGACATCAAATTCAACTGCTCCAAGTTACAGAACACCCGGCTGTGAGGACGGGCTGAGACCCGGGCAGCGTGCGGAGGGCAGAGCTGTAACGCTGGCGGGACTTACACCAATGCAGCTTCACAAGCAGCTTTTCCATCAAGATGGCTTTCTTCCTGAACCATGAATAAAGGAAAGCTAGAAAACAGAAAATGAAAGCCGTAAGACGTCTGAAAATTAGGTTTTCTTTCATGTCTTCAGTCAGACAGGAAGACTGTTGGTTAACAAGTATTCACGGAGAGCTTGTTCTTGGTGAGGATCACTGAAAGCTGGGGAGAATACAACAATATAAAACATACACTGTCCTCAAAGAGATTCTAGCTAGAGAGACATTATTTGACACAATGTCCCAAACCGCGCAGTGTAAAGACCTAACAACGCAGCAAGTTTCCTGAATGCATTTGACTCATTTTTGTCCCTAGAGCCTAATATCACTGTCAGTACACACAGCCCTGCCCAGCTTCATCGAGCAAAGTTTGTGGAACACAGTAAGCTGAGTACGTGTCTTTGCTTCCCAGGAATAAACAACTGTGGTATCATAACCTAGGATATAATTTTCCTTCTTTTCATGGTTTTCTTTAAAGTGCCATAGATAGGGGTGCCTGGGTGGCTCAGTAGGTTAAGCGGTTAAGTGTCTGACTTCAGCTGAGGTTGTGATCTCAGGGTCATGGGATCGAGCCCTGCGCTGGGCTCCCTACTCAGCACGGAGTTTGCTTGTCCCTCTCCCTCTGCCCCTCCACCCCCTCCCCCTGCTCGTGCTCTCTCTAATAAATAAAATCTTTAAAAAATTAATAAAGTTCCGTAGATAAAGAAAGACCATTGTAAACAAAGCTTAAATCAATCTTGTACTTAGTTTAAAATCATCAGGACACTGATGTACCCTCTGAATTCATCTTTATCAGCTCTATGCATTACAATTGCTGTGACCAACTTGCTTCCTTTTTGCACTCTTTAAATCATAAATGCAATGTCTGATTTCTTAAGAAAAGAGATATTCGGGGTGCCTGGGTGGCTCGGTTGGTTAAGCGACTGCCTTCGGCTCAGGTCATGATCCCAGAGTCCCGGGATCAAGTCCTGCATCGGGCTCCCTGCTCAGCGAGAAGCCTGCTTCTCCCTCTGACCCTCACCCTCTCATGTACTCCCTCTCTTTCTCATTCTCACTCTCTCAAATAAATAAATAAATAAATCTTTAAAAAAAAAAAAAAAAGAAAGAAAAGGGATATTCATACACTGGAAACACTTTTACAGCTTCTCTTACAAACAAAATTGAAATATCAAAATTTAAGATCCCCCGAAGGGCATGGGCTGGTTTTGGCTGCTTGGCTTTCATTTAGGGTCACTGTGATTTATTTTAGGCTATGGGGATTTGACTGAGGATAGGATTTCATGACTCTCTCTAGAAGAGAGTAGAGTTAGCCAAGAATTGAAACTAACCTGTAAATTTCACAAGGCTACAAGGTCAAACCCCCGAAGAAACAAAGATTACCTGGCTGACTTCACTTTTTAGGACCAGTGCACTGCTGAAAACAAACAAACCAAAAGTCATAAACAATTTAATCATAAGGGAAACAGTTATTAAATTGTTGATAAAGACTCCCATTCAGCACATGCCTACTCTATGTCAGACACTGTGTCAACCGCCTTGCACTGTGTTTAGCATACTGCAAGCTCTTAACAGGTATTAGTTAATTTAACATCTTATTTTTAATCTTCACAAAAAAGACTGAATGCAGATTTTATTAGTTCCATTTTCCACGCGAGAAAATCAGGTCAAATAGCCAACAAATAGTATCTAAGCACTTTTCTCTATACTGAACTGCCCCTCACCTGGCAAAAGGAATCTGATGATTCTGCATTGAATATAATTTATGAAAAATTGACTTTGTGTTTTGTAATTTGAATGTCCTTACACTGAGCATTGACTCTTCTAAATTGCAAGCATATAGAAAATATAAATACATCATTCTGCATGCATAACCGAGTGGTTAAAAATGCCATTACTTGACCTTCCATTGTTGTGGATTTGCATACATACAATTTTGAGGTCCTTTGAATGAGATGGAGTAAGACGTCAAATATATTACTTAACTTCATAATTATTATCCTAGAAAACACAATAGTAAACAATGTATTCTTAGATTTCTGTTTGAATTATTTTTTAACTACAGAAGTTACATACATACATATACAGATAATGAGAAAGAAAGAGAAAGAAGGAACACTTGATAAAAGGAGACTCTACATTAAGAGAAAGGGAAAAAGTGGACTGGAACACTTGACATTTGGCCTCCATAGTCTTTTCTACCTTTAATACTTTAGAATATAAATTGCCAACAATGAACAATTATACCTAATTTTTTGGGGAAACAAACTTGACATACTTTCTCCCTTCTTTTTGTTGCTGTTGTTATACATATAGAACCAAAAAGTCAATTCTCAGAAATCATTCTAATTGGTGACAAATTATTATTATTATTTTCATATTGGAGAGAGAGAAATTACAATAGGGAAAATTTGTGATTGACCAAGATCCTAAACCAAATGAGGAAAACATACTATAACCATAAGAAAACAGAAAAACTTGCTTCAATACCCAGGGTGCATATCCAAAAAACTAAAAAGAAGAAAAGTTACTAATTATTTTATTTTTAATACACTATCATAACTGTGAACTGACAATTATGTATTATGATACATAAGAATAGATAATTCAAATATAAAGTAAATCATGTACATTTTATTTCTACAGCAGTTTGATTTTAAAATATTCATATGAAATCTAAACAGAAACAAATCAAATATTAAGCATAATATCATATTAGGTTATCCATATTTAAATTTTATTTACCAGTAATTGAGGTAGAAAGAATATGTGTCAATGGAATCTATTTATATTCCCTCTACATTATTTGTGGAGTTTGGATTGACCTAATAAATATTATGAATACATTAGCCCTCAGAAACAAGGATGAAGAGGATATAGACACTGTCTTAGAAATCCATGGCCTTGCTTGCTTGAAAGATTCAGTGACTATCATGGCCGTGTTGATCTGAACGATGGATATTTTAAAATGTTCCAGGGAACACACAACAGAGTCCTTCATGGAAAGCAACAATGGCTTTACCTCACATCTGTCCCATTCAGTGTCTGCAATGTAGCAGACAGCCAGGCATACAGGGGGAAAGACAGGGCGCTCAGGGTTGTCAGTCATGGGTCTGAAGTTCTCTCCACACCTTCGTGAACAGGAATCTTGGGCAGGTTATTTCATTGCTCTAAGCCCCAATTTCCTTACTGGCAAAATGAGACAATAACACCACACTTGAAGAATTATGGTGGGAAAAAGTCACCTTGACACACCTGCTGATCGCATGCATTGCACAACTAAGCCTTCGGGACGGGAATCTGTGGAGCACGGCTCCTTTCTTCACATAACAAAGGCTTAGTGTATGTCTTCGGTCAAGCCATTGCTCAGTTTCTCCCTCTGACGCGCTACCTCCTTCGTAAGCCTGAAGTGAGAACCTTTTTAGGATAATCAAACGATACCAGAAGATTTCTACTGCATATGACAATATTTATCTTTATTTATTTATCACAATTTTCAAAGAAAATTACAGTTTTTCCCTCAAGTGTTCAGTTAGGCCAAAGAGAGTTTTATGGGATTTGGAGAAATTCGGGGACCAGAAGGAGTGAAATGTCCCAGCCAGATGAAGTGCCTTTCAGTTCATACTGCAGCTACAGAATCACCTGCTGTCAGTAGGATGTAGCGGCCAACTGTTAATATACCCGATGCTTTTGAACAGTCCCTTGAAAGGTTTCATTCCCTGAGATAAATAAAACAACTCTTATTTCAAAATTTGAGACACGGAATGCAGGTCCAAGTCTGATCCATCGATCCAATCGACTCACATCTCTAACTGAGGTGTTGAGCATTTTACTGTTTTACTTTTGTTTACTATTTATCTCTTCATTTACATATTTATTGTATTCTTTTCTTCCTACTGAAGAATGAAAACTGGCGGCTGGTTGAAGCTGGGAAGTCAGAGGTACTTAATGGTATAAAAACAAAAAAGGAACAATTACAGTAAACAAAAAGGAGCTTTCCCTGAGAGCTACATGAAGCAGCATCTTTTTGATAGCTTTTATGCTCTGTCAACTTCCAGGCAAGCCATTAGAGGAAGGAGGGAGGAGAAAGAAGGCAAAAGAGGCCTCAAAGCACTTGGCAGTTTTCCATAATGAGCTTCCTGTCTAACTCTCCAATAAAGGCCGGCTCTGGTAATGGGCCCCTGGCGAACTCGAGATTCCGAACCCACCTGTGTTGCTCCACACAGCTGCATAAGGAAGAGAGGCATGAAGTCACCCCAGCTGTTACCCAGCTCCTTGAGGCTAGGTCCAAGACATATTCTCAATCGCCGTACCCCCAGCTCCCATCTGGGAGTAGGTGTTCGCAGAATCAATTTGAGTATGATTATGTGTTTTTGAGGGTGTTAAATAAAAAGATCCGTTGGTTGCCTTACTTATAAAGCATACTTTTCCCTGACCAAACTATATGAGTTCCAATGACTGTCTTAATCCTTGTCAATCCATGAATCTCCTTCACTGGATACGTGTGCCTTTGCTATAATCTATGCTCGTTTCTCACCCTCTTATCCCCACATTTAAGTAACCAATCCTCCACTCTGAGCCTTCCCTGCTGATCCAGAGACTCTGACTAGTGCCAAGCTTATCCTGAAACATTCCAGTGGCCAGCCTCTAAGAATACCCTTGATCCCCTCTTCCTAAACGGTATGGGAAAATGGACCGAAGAACATTCTCCCAGTAAGCCGAGAGCTGTGTCCGCGCCCCTGTCGCCAGCCCCTGCCACCTCCAGCCAGCTTTTTTAGGGACTGCATCATCAGGAGGAACTCTAACATTCTTGGGAGCGCCTTCTTTCAGACTCACCCGCCCACTTCCACCCATCTATTACCAAAGCTCTGGAAAAACTTTACGTCCTCCACACTCTGCCTGGGAACCCACTTGGAGTTATCTTTACCTGAAGCAGTTGGCTTTGGGGCAACGGCCGCAGTCAGTAACTGAGCGAACGACGTCCCAACAGGGGAAGGTGTAAGCAGCAGCATGGCCAAATCGAGCTGTCGAAGACTTGGTGGAACATGCTGTGTTAGAAGTGCTGAAGATGGCAGCGAGCAGTGCCCGTGAAGGCTAAGAGGATCTGAGTCGATGATGGCCGGATGCATTGTATGTGGCAACAAATTCTCTCAACGAGCTTTCTGCAGGCTGGTGACCAGAGAAGTACGTGCCACATCACAAATGCCACTGCAACGAAGCAATTCTGCTCAGTGATGCCGTGGCCAACACCCAGATGAAGTTCCCTGCGAAAGTGACTTTTTTTTTTTTACTTTATCTTTTCGAGAAGTTTTAGGTTCAGAGCAAAAGTGAGGGGAAGGTACAGAGATTTCCCACATACCCTCTGTTCCCACACATACGTAGCCTTTCCCATCCCCAACATCCCCAACCAGAATGGTACATTTGTTGTAAATGATAAACCTACACTGACATATCCTAATTACCCAAAGTCCACAGTTTACCTCCTGGTTCACCCCAGGTGTTATACAGTCTGTGGTTTTGGACAAATGTATAATGGCATACATCCATTATCATAGTATTATACAGAGTATTTTCACTTCCCTAAAAAAATGCTCCGTGCTCTGCCTATTCATCCCTCTTCTCCATTCCCTAACCCCTGCCAACCACTAATTGTTTTACTGTCTCCTACTTTCTGCCTTTTCCAGAATGTCATATAGTTGAAATCATATAATATGTAGCCTTTTCAGATTGGCTTCTTTCATTTAGTAATATGCACTTAAGTTTCCTTCATGTCTTTCCATGGCTTGAGAGCTGAGGGTTTTTTTTTATTTCTTAAAAAGATTTATTTTTTTAAAGATTTTATTTATTTGAGAGAGGGAGAGAGAGAGAGACAGCGAGTGAGCATACAAGCAGGGGGCAGAGCAGAGGGACAAGCAGACTCCCTGCTGAGCAGGGAGCCCACCGCGGGGCTTGATCCCAGGACCGAGATCATGACCTGAGCTAAAGTCAGATGCTTAACTGACTGAGCCACAAGATTTATCTGAGAGATAGAGACAGAGAAAAAGAGCACACAAGTGGGGGGAGAGGCAGAGGAACAAGCAGAATCCCCACTGAGCACAGAGCCTGACCTGGGGCTCAATCTCATGACCCATGACTTCATGACCTGAGCCGAACCCAAGAGTCAGGCTTAACCGACAAACACCCAGGCACCCCAGCTAGCTGTTTTCTTTTTAGCACTGAATAATATTCCACTGTATGGATGTACCAAAGTTTATTTATCCATTCACCTACTGAAGGACATCGTGATTGCTTGCAAGTCTTGGCGATTATAAATAAAGACACTACTGGGGCTCCTGGGTGGCTTAAGATTCTCTTTCTCCTTTTCCCACTGCCCCTCCCCCGCCTCTTTTTAAAAAAGCCACTATTTCTTTTTTAAGATTTTATTTATTTATTTGTCAGAGAGAGCACAGGAGCACAAGCTGGGGGAGCGGCAGGCAGAGAGAGAGGGAGAGGGAGAAGCAGGCTCCCCTCCCCTCCCCACCCCACCACGGGGAACAGGGAGCCTGATGCAGGACTCAGTGCCACAACTCTGGGATCATGACCTGAGCCAAAGGCAGTCACTTAATCGACTGAGCCACCCAGGCGTCCCCCCGCCAATAAAAGCCACTATTAACATTAACACTATTAACATGTGCAGGTTTCTGTGTGGACGTAAGTTTCTAACTCCTTTGTATAAATAAACAAGGAACACCATTGCCGGATCTTATAATGAGAATATGTTTAGTTTGCATAATATTTTATTATAGTTGATGTTATATATACTAAATCATACCAAATAAATTAATTATATATATTTGTTATATATATATTTATAAATTTAAAAAAGAATATGTTTAGTTTTATAAAAACAAAAAACCACCAAACTGTCTTCCCAAGTGGCTGTACTATTTTTCATTCCCACCAGCAGCAAGTGTGCATCCCTGTTGCTCCACATTGCAGTGTTCTGGAATTTGGCCATTCTAACTGGTATGTAGTAGTATCTCATTTTAATTTGTGTTTCCCTGATGACATATGATATAGAGCATCTTTTAGTATGCTTATTTGCCATCTACATAGCCTCTCTGGTTAGGTGTCTGTTATAAAAGTGACATTTTAGGCACCTGGGTGGTTCAGTTGGTTAAGTGACTGCCTTCAGCTCAGGTCATGATCCCAGGGTCCTGGGATAGAGCCCCACATTGGGTTCCCTGCTCCTCGGGGAGCCTGCCTCTCCCTCTCCCTCTGCCTGCCACTCCCCCTGCTTGTGCTCTCTCTCCATCAAATAAATAAAATCTTAAAACAAAGGTGACATTTTAATTAAAATAACTCTCTTCAAGAAACAATGCAGTAAAAAAATTTTTCCCTTGTCACCTATCCTTAAAGTCATCCCAGATAAAACAACTTTGTAAAAGGAGAACAAAATTAGAGAGTGAACACATTTTGATTTCAAGACTTAGTACACAGCTACGGTAATCAAGTAACCAAGACAAGTGATATTGGCATAAACTTTAACACAAGGACAAAGGCAACTTAGTAGAGAAAATGTGTCTATTCAACAAGTAGTGGTGGGATAATAGACATCCACAGGCAAAAATATGAACTTTGGTCCATACCCTGTATCATATATAAGCAAAATATAGTACACATTTTATGAGTCTATAAAGTCTAGAAAATGCAAAATATAATGACTGAAAGCAGATCAGTCATTGCCTGGGAAGGGCATGATGGAAGAGTGGGAGCAAAGGATTACAAGGGGGCATGAGGAGGCATTGAGGAGAAAGGAGATATTCACCATCTTGATGGTGGTGATGCTTCACAAGTGTGTACATGTATCAGAACTCACCAAATTGTATACTTTAAATAAGTATAGTTTATTAAGTGTCAGTTATATCTCAATAAAGTTGCTTTTCAAAAGCAAACAAAAATCATTACTCTCCTAAGAAAAGTACCTGTTTCTGACAAAAGAAAGTAGATGAGGAAGATGGGAAAACAGGAAGATAGCCCAGTACATTTCTAAGTGTGGAAAGCAAGGTTCAATGCCGTGCTACTGCTATAACTACAAAGAGCAAACTCATAAAGCACTGATTTGTGGCAATCTAAATGCTTTACGTATAATAATTCACTTCTTCTTGCTAATATTGACGTGAAGCAGCACTATTACTTTACACATTTGCAAATGAGGAAGCTGAGGCATATCCCAGTCACACAGCTTATAACCTGTGAATGAGGGCTGATAATCCAGCAGTCAGTTCTCAGTTGGTGCTCTTAACCTCTACACTTGACCCCAAGATCCTACTTGTGTAAAATAACTATGCATGTAAGGGCAGATTAGGGAAGAACAGTGAAATATGGAAAAGGTGTTGGTGAAAGAGAATTTTATTCTTTAATGTAAAAACTGTCATCTTGTTTGAATTTTTACAGCAATCATTCCTGTGTCAGTTGATCTGCTTCTAGAAGCAGAAGCTAAAGATGAGAAATTAGAAGCACAAGTGGTTTATGGGGAGGCAACACCTTGGAAAGATTAAACAAAGCAGGATTAGGCAGAGAGAACCTCAGACTATCAAACAGATCAGCCTGAGCCTTAGCCAACCCAGTGGAAAACTCTGAAGCCAAAACTGTGCTTTAGAAGAGTCTCATCTCATGTTGAATAGAAATGGCCAGGCTCTGGTAGTCCTGCCATGCTCAGTCAGTGGCATAGACCGCTTGGAAGGGGTATGCCCTCAACCAGAACAGAAGCCCAGGATGATCGCAAAGGCACTGCGGAGGAAAGTTGTCAACTCCCAGCGCTCTGTACTGGAACAACGTCTCTCTTAAGAGATCTGAGCAGCTCTCCTCCTTGGTTGCCATACTATCAAATGGAAGAATACATTTTCTTATAAAGCTCTCGAGTGTACAAGAAGTTTCCCAAAACTGGTCCCGAGACAATTGGAAGATCTTCAATGATGATAAAGCATTGCAAATCTTAGTGAAATAGAAATGAGAAATTTATTTATCAGACAAATTACCCTAAATATTCATCAAGAGGTTTAGAGAAACCTCTTTTTTAATATATTCCTTCCCCATAGTAGAGAAGGAAAAAAACAAATGCCCAAGTGGTATTAAGCCATCTGCAAGAGAAATTGCTTCTTTGTGTCTGTCCACTGCTGAGGACGATTCAACCACCCCCTAACTAAATTCTCTTTTCAAGACTTACACTTCGTTTCATAATACTATTGTCAAGTAGGACCCCATATTATTATTATTATTATTATTATTATTATTATTATTATTATTATTATTACGACGACGACGACAATAGCATTATAGCAGTTTCCATGCAAGGTGGAGCAAGTCAAAGTGGAATCTAAAGTCATCAATGCAAAAGATGCATTCATTTTCAAATTCAACTGAATCAGATATACAAGTGAACATGCTCAAAAAGGAAATAAATTTGCCATTCTCAATACTTTCCCAATTAAGGGAAAGGGAATAAATCTCCAGAATACTGAGTGAAAGGGACATGGTGACATATCCTGGCAGGACCCTCCTATTCGAAAAGCAGTTGCATTCCTGAGCCACATGAATAATTAAGCAAGCACTTGCCACCTGTGGGAAACAGAAAATAAAGGATAATACAAAGTACCTTTCAACTCTAACTCTTGAAAAAAGACAATAAGTTTTCCTGGAAATCAGTGGTTCCAACTTGATAAACTGGTACAAAATTATTAATTCCCTATATTTTAGAAATCGAGACATAGCACTTTTTAAAAGGTTACCTGTTCATCTCTGATGGGTACACATTCTTCCCTGTGTTCTCGCTTTTCTTCTTCAATCAACTTTCCTCCCCTCAACACACAAGTATGTTCATATGTACATACTACATGTTAAGCTTGTAACATGATTATGGAAATAGATTGTGAATCAGGAGAAGAAGGCTTGATATTCATATCTGCTACTGAATATTCTGCCTTAGGTTAACCAATTAATTTTTCATTTTAATTAATTTTTAATTCAATTTTTGCAAATACCCAAGCAACGACTGACTAAAATATAAATATGCAAAGGCACTCTCTCTGCAAAATGGAAATGTATTCTGCCTCCAAAGTGCCAGACAGTCTCTCTCTTCAAGTAATGTTTTGTCTAAGAAAAAGCAAGAATAAACATGTAAAGTACATGGGAAAACACTAAGGAAAAGGAAAATACCCAATTAGGAC